CTTTCTAACTACCAATTCACACTAGAATTGATCCTACCCATTTTCATAACACCAATCATAATGAAAAAATGTTAGAAATACCCAAAACAGCCCACATGAACCCTATGGACACCTTAGGTTAGAAATAAGTCCGAGTATGAGGAACCCTACCTCTTGAAGCGTAAAGAATTCGTAGGAAACCTCAAGAACAAGATTCAAGCCCAAAGTTTAGATTTCTCTANAATGTTAGAAATACCCAAAACAGCCCACATGAACCCTATGGACACCTTAGGTTAGAAATAAGTCCGAGTATGAGGAACCCTACCTCTTGAAGCGTAAAGAATTCGTAGGAAACCTCAAGAACAAGATTCAAGTTCAAAGCTTAGATTTCTCCAAAATTCTCCCTTTGGATCTTCGGTGAAAATCTTTGTTTTTGGTACCCACGCATAGCTCTCGTTGCGTAGATCAACTTTAATTCTTGGCCAGACGAATTCCGACAGACGGAACTCCGATAATCGACGAAAGAAAGATTGAAGAATTATTTTTTTTCCTCTTTACTCTTGGGTCTGATCCAGCCGACCAAATGAAGTGAAAATATCTGATTTTTCAGATATTTGCCCACTTTTATACTTTTTAAAGACTTGGCCCTCGTCGCGCCAAGTGTCGTCCTTTGTCCAGGTCCGTTTTCGCTCCGAAACGATTAAATTTCGTACCGATTTAAGTTCAAAATATTTTATATGAACTTTATTTAAAATATTTTTTAACTTTCAAATTTTTAATAAAAATTTTATTTTTGGGGGTCACCGGACGCTCGTCACCTCGAAAAACGTAAAAAATTTAACTATCTCAGAATTTGACAAAAATTGACAGGACAGCTTAGTTTTGCGATGCGAATCCAACGGTGAGATTCGTTGATTCATCTGAGCTCTAGAAAAATATTGATTTTAATCTCGCATAACAATGGCAAAATTACCATTTTACCCTTTATCGAAAAAAGTTCAAATTTTTCCCGAGCTTCACACACCCTCTCTAAACCCTTCTTTTTTGTACAAACCTAACAAATTTAAAATCAACCTGACACGAAATGACCCAACCCTACATGTTTGACACCCATAGCTATATTTGGTAGATATCAAAACAATTCTGGTATTGTGCATTTGAAGGCTGTGAAGAAAGTATTGTGATACTTGAAAATAACAAAAGATTTTATGTTAGCCTTCCATAAATCGGACAAGCTTTGAGGTTGTTGGTTATTCAGACTCAAATTATGCAGGATGCCGTAACAGTCTAAAGTTTACTTCTGGGTATATTTTTATATTTGCCCATTATGATCAATTCGACTATGCTTGCTAAGTTTCTCAGATGTTATGAGGCAACTTGCCATGCAATGTGGTTGAGGCACTTCATAACGGAACTAGGTGTTGTGGATTATATTGGTTATTTATTGTAACAATAAAACAATAACCAAATATGTGAAGAACGAGTGGATGACCAAAAGTAACGAGCATATATAGATCCAGTATCTTCTTCTATGTGAGAAGGTTCAAGAGGGAGTCATTGAGATCCCTCATGTGTATACCAGATTGATAGTTGCTGATCCTCTCACAAAAGGTCTACCACCAAATAATTTTAAAGAGTACGTTAGTCATATGGGAGTGGTAGAAGCTATAGATTATGCTATTTAAATAGGATCATGTCCCATTATGTTTCAGTTCATATTTTATATTTCAATTCATGATTTAAATTATATTCTTGTTATTGAATGTTAGCAATAAAGCTACTAGTGCTTTTATATTTCATATTATACCTGGGTATTTATTTGTGCATATGCTATGAGGTTTTTAATGCCTAGGAATATGTGATATATTCATGAGGTATTCTTAGGTGAGATGATTAGGCAGCATATCAATAAACCTTCATTCTAATAGGCTGGTGATAGTTTTCACATAGCGGTATATTGTAATATCAAGATGACACACTACAAGTGTGAAGCATGATGAACAAGTAAATTGTATGTCTTTGATTACATTAGGTGTGTACATTTCTTTATTACCCACTTCATTAACCACATAAAGTTAAACACTCAATTCTACTACTGATAGTAGCATAGAAACACATGGACTATCTTGGAGTCAATAGATGGAATTCAAAAACATTCATGATTCATTTAGTATTGATTGAAAGTTAGGGCAATATTCAAGATGTTTAGGAAATCATTTTTTTTCAAAATTAAAGAGTGGCCACTTGATTTTAAAGGTAATTAACCCATGTGTCTCTTTTTTAAAATTAAACTTTACATGTGCGGACCAAGTGGGAGATTGTTGGAATATTTTTATTTTGATTTTAGTTTTCATAAAACATTCCTATTGTTGCTACACATGGTGTTTTTAATCATGGGTTAGTGGTTGTCTAACGCAACTGGAAGTGTGTTACTAAACTAGTTATACATGGGTTGTGATTTCCCTAAAAATAAAAAATGGAAGTCTACCACTCTTTTAAGACTTCTTTGACGGGTAGTGTAACGCCCCAAATCCACCTTGGATGACATTACTATCTTAAACCATTCACATCATGAGAGCAACTACTAAAATCCATAAGTAAAGAAAATTTCATTCATCATATATAATATCTACATGTCTCAACCACTTTCTGTTGGGTTTATCAAACCCGAATGAACACGGATCTAGAATATTATATATAATTAAATCACAATAATTATTATATATTTAAGTAAAGTATAACGACCCTTTGTTCTAGATTTGATTCCCTGTAGCTTTTGAATAAAAGAATGCAGTACTCTACTCCAATCTCTAATGAACAGTAGAAGTAATGAAAATTAATATCTTTCAAGTATATTGAGAGGACAACGGCTACCACATATATTTAAGACTTTATCTCTTAGATACCTACCTGTAAACCCCCACATGTTTATATTAATATAATGATATAATTGTTTAGTAATTCTAATATATATAATGACGTAAGAATGAACCACATAAATTATAACAGTAGAAATAAATATTTGGGAGATAAATTGATTGTTAAGTTTAAGTTTTGAAGGTGTTTAAATTTGGAAGAAGTTGTTAGGTAAGTTCAAAAGATTTTTAGGTCAAAATAAGATTTTCATTGAATCCGGAAGATCGAGAAATATTGGGAAAGGTAATATGGGGTGTAATAAAGTTAGGAAGTATCCCGGAGTTGAAGCATATTGTAGATAGAATTTGAGTAGAAAGAATTTTGACACTACCTTAGTATTTCGATCATAACTCTTTACTCTAATGTCCATTTGAGCTGAAATTTTTACAGTAGATAATAGACTTCCAGGGGTATAAAAGTGTATTTCACGAAAATTTTTCAAATTGATCTCTAAATGAGCCAAAACATCACTGAAAGTTTCAGCAGAACGTGAAAGTGCGTTTGAAAGACCTACGTTTGAATTGATAGTCCATTCGAACGATAATTCGTTCCAGTACTCTTGTCTAATGGAAAAACAAAAAGGACTGGGAGCAAGTGACGTTTGAATGCCAAATGACGTTCGAACGTGAGCAGCGAATCAGAATATCAGATTTATGTCGGTTGCACTCTTTTCTCACCCTATAAATACATAAGGCCGCCTCCATTAGCCCCATTTTAACATTTCTAACCCTAAAAAGTTTTAGAGAGGAAGAAAGAAGGAGAAAACACAAGATCAATGAGGATTTTCACATTGAAGTGGATCAAAATCTCAAGTTCTTTCACACAAAACTAAGGAAGAAAGTAGATGATTTTTCTCAAGTCCTTTCATTAAGACTTAGGGTATAACTATGTATGTTTTCAATCTTATTGATAATTATATGATAGATATACATGAGTTGTTGATTTCTTTATCATTGGAACATAGTCTTGAGCAAAATATATATTTGGGTTCAAAGAGCATTTGTTCTTGAATTTTCAAAACCCTAAGTTTTCCAAAATACATGTTCTATGGTGAAATTCATAGTGATTATTGATTTCTAAACTCTTATGCTTGATTAAATCATATTTTCATCTAAATGTTTGTTCTTGTTCCAAGAAATTGGAATTTTTGGCAAAACCCTAAAATTTTGAATATCCAAATTATGAAGGTTTTCTTGAGATGATCTCTTGTATAATTTTATTTCCTATTACTGTAGTATATTGAGAATTGGAAAATTGTGATACTTAAAATTGATAATGAAAATTGTGATTGGTGAAGATTGTGGTTGTTGAGAATATTTTGGTTTTATCTCTTGAATGGTTTGTTGTGACGGACTTGAATTGCATTCGAGAGCTACCGTAGAGTGTTAGAGGTTAGTCTATCCCAGTAGAGGTGAGATGACTTCCTAACACTTGTAGTGGATTGTTGTTTGTGAGAGCAACCACTATTGTTCACATAAGTTCGAGGCTGAGGGGTGGTATACCTTTCCTGCGAAGGATTCGTCAATATCGTGGGAGACGGTATTCCCCCATCCTAAAATGTTTGTAATTGTGGTTGTGATGGGTGAATGAGGTAGAATGGTTGTGTAGATTTTTAAGAAACAACAAACATACATGACAATGAGGATGAACCAACATATATGAGAATATGGAATGATGTTAATGATTTATTTATTGATTGTTTTAATCTCTTACAAGTTTATTCCTGTTATTGCTTTATTGTATTTCGTATACTTGAGATCATTACAACTATCATTGTTTTATTCTCAAAATCTATACATGCTATTTTATAAAAGAGACTTGTCATCTTTTATTATTTTTTTAAACCTTGTTGGGATTTGAGAGGATTTTCCTACAGAGCTTAGTGCTCACCCCCTACAAACAACATTCTTTTCAGATTTTGATTTAAAGGAAGAGCTCAGAGTTGACGAACAGGTAGTTTGGGAGACTCAATTTGATGGGCATGTGGACCCAGAGGGGAATGTCTAGAACTATTCTTTTTATGTCCTAGACTAGAAGGTTTNTCTAGATCCGTGTTCATTCGGGTTTGATAAACCCAACAGAAAGTGGTTGAGACATGGCTTGAGCGGGGTGTCTCAAAAGTGGTAATTGATGCTCCAGTCTATTTGAGTAATGCCCAAAAGAAGGAAATCGAATCCGCTGGCGAAATTGCGGGTTTAGATATGCTTGAGATTGTTGATAAGCCGATTGCCGCTGCACTCTGTTGTAAGTAACACATGTGATGGCGTTAATCCAGTGTTAAATCAAGGCGGTAATGCCTTCGGTGTCTCAATCCTTGAGATCCCTAATGGATTTATCGAGGTATGTTGTTTATTTGTGGCCAACTACCGATTTTTGTCTGTTTGTTGATTCGAATTTATTCCTTTTTTCAACTTCTTTGGTACAGGTAAAAGCTAAAAATGGTGACTTATTCCTGGGTGGTGTGGATTTTGACCATGTTCTAGTGGAGTACTTGTTTGATGAGATTAGAAGGTTATATTCTTTAGATATCTCTAGAGACGGAATAGTTATGATGAGGCTAAAAGAGGCTGCCAAGAAAGCAAAGATGGAACTCTCATCCTCTCTTCAGGCTCTGGTACATGTTCATTACATCATGGTGTTTGGATTGGACCCAATACATGCAAACATCACTGTTTTTCGTTCAAAATTTAAAGAATTAGTGGAATGCTAGCTTGAGAGAATCAGAAACCACTGCAGTAACTGTTTGAAAGATGCAAGCATATCTGTTGACAAAATTGATGAAGTTATATTGGTTGAGGGTGGCTATAGTTCCTCGGGTACAGCAAATTGTTCGAGAATTTTTTGAAAAATCTCCTATTTATGGGGGTGAATCGAGGTGAAACTCTGGTTGTTGGTGCTGCTTTACAGGGTGCCCTTATGATTGAAGATGAGAGAAAACTAGTGTCTGGCACAATTCCACTATTTCTTGGGATTGAGACCATTGGGAGAGACTGCGTGAGAACTATCAACCGCAACTCAGCGGAAGATGAAACATATCCCCCAACAATTGGCAAAGCTAAGCCTTGGAATGTAAAGGCAACGATTCTAGTAGATATTATAGTGGAAGGCTGATCCCCCAACTTTTTTACCTGATCGGTCATCACTGTCCATTTGTATGTAATCGATCTATTTTATGAACTTCCAGAGCCATTGACACGGGGGACAGATGTTTTCTTTAGACTGTGTCATGCATGCTAGACATGTTTTATCTCTCTCTCTCTCTCTCTCTCTTCAGCTACCACCCAAGTTAGTTCCCCTCCCCCCTCTCTGTTTCTCCACCCTCATTTTCTTCCCAACCCCTCTCACACCCAAAACCCCTATGCAACACAACACACACTCACACTCACACCCACACACACACACACATCACCATCTCCCCCCCGGGGGGCCAAAAAAATAACAGGGACTTTAATAATTAAATTATTGTAGCTTTACTGTCTTCTTCCTCCCATTCACTCTATAACATACACACTAACGCACACTCTCTCTCTCTCTCTCACACACAGATACATACATGCACACATACAACACACAAATTGCACACATACACACAATTTTCACACAAAATGGTTTTTAAAAAATCTTTTTGTTGAAAAATACTTAAGAACCATACATGGACTAATCCAATTCTATTTTAACTCTAATCCTCCTAAGTCTATTAAACCAATAGATTATCTTAAGTCTTTACGTCATTACCTTTGTCCTAAATTTAAAGGTTCATTCAGAATGTAAATGATGATTACAGCAATTGAAGACACTGCCCCAAACTAGAACTTGAAGAGGTTAGCATTAGTCGCCAGAAGACCGAAATCTTTAACTCTGTGATTCTGAACCATCTTTATCATTCTTTCAACTATAGCAAAAAGTTGTTAATCAATTCCTTTCTTGTGTACGATAAAGAGTTCGAGAAACAAACAGAAAACTCACCTATGAGGAAGACACAACACCACATCAGGTGATTAGTGTTAAAAAGGAATGTCTTTTTGAAGATGTTTATATCGTGTGCTTGGCCAAACATGGAATAGCTGGAGGATTGGCCAACTGCACCTTCATCTCACCTCCTTCCAATTTTGTAAACTAGAACCAATTTGAGGAAAATGAACCACCACCGATCAAATATTACATGCAAAACCATAAAACCAATCTGAAAATAGGAAGGGCTGCCATTGCAGAGGATCAGATTTACGAAGCCTTGTCAAAAGAATTCAGGTACTAATTGCATAGTGTTAAAAAACTGCCTCTAAATGGTCAAATGAGAGGTTTTCCAGTAGTTCAGTTTCCATTTTCAAGCAGTCACTTGGAACAAGAAGCCTTGTTTATTAAAATCCCAATCAAAACAATCTTACAAGATTTTGAACTCAAGAATCACTCAAGAATCACAAGTCCATGACAAGGAAGTTTTTCATTGAGTTTTCAATTAAAAAACCAAATATATGTTCCGAGTTCCAATCACTAGAAACACCTATGGCCCCGTATGGATCAATCAATGAACAGTCTAACAAGAACAGAAATGAACGGCATTAACACCTGCAAAATGTCTAAACACCTGCAATGCAGCCCTCTCTTGAACTGCCACAACCAAATTTATTGTTCGAATAAACTATAAATGCCATGGCACAACCATATCCCCAGCAGACTTATGTGGTTAAGTCAACTTGTGAATGGTTTTCATATCAGCAGCTTCCTGGAGGGTCCCCTTCTCGACATTGTCCCACCACTTCAAAAGGAAATTGTCCACGACGAGTCTGAACCAAGGGGACAGCTTCAGACCACCGTCACCAGCATCAGCTTTTGCTAGCAGCTCTTTCAATTGATCTCGGTTCACGTATTTAATGTCAGCAACTTCATCAGGGTTGGGGTTCACGCTGACGTCCCGGACAATGAAGAGAAGGTAATCAACTGCATATAACACAAAAGTTGGGGATCAGCATCACAGTATACATTTCTATGTCTGTGTTTGTTCACATGGCTGTGGCTGTCTTAGTTCTTAGTGTATTTCACTAAAAATGTAGACAATCAGCTGTCCCATGGATTTTTCTTACGATTGGAATTGGGGCTGAATAAATATTAGTNTTAGGGCTAAATAAAAGTTCATCATGATGCCATGCTCAAGGAAAAAAATATTTCTACTCCGACTCCACCACACGAATTAGAGTATCTCTGTGAACCTCACTTTCAATAGCTCCCTAAAACTAGTCTACACACAAGAGGACATGTTAAAATATAAATACTTGATTTATACCCTTCTAAAAACATAAAATTTTGGAGTAAACGGTAGTGTCATGGTTGCATGTTTTCTTACTGAAGGGACATCCAGCTATTTATAAAATTAATCTCCTTTCCTAACTCTGACGCTTGCTCCCGGTACACTATGTATCTTTTATCATAATTTTCTACAATGTTGTAGTGCAACGCCCCAAAATCCACAACGGAGATATTAGCTATCTATCAACCATTAAACCATGAGAGCATACTAAAGTAACCATTAAAATAATAAAACCATCCATCTTTAATAAATAACTTGATCAATCCCAATAAAACATCAATAATTTCTTAAAATTACATCCTAAAACCATAATACTATCTTGAAACTAACCAATAAAGAAATATTAATAAATATTGTCTAATAACTGAACTTCAAAAATTTAAACTAGAAAGACACTTTCTAAGCCTCAACGTCTAGATCCACATCTCGATCTACTGCCACCTCAAAGTGAACCTGCTCACCTAAGGTTATTTCTTCCTCGAGCCCAAAATCTGAAATATATATATTGTAGGAAAACATTCTCAAACTCAAATAAATTTGAAAATCATAAAAACTGGTAAGTCTCAGTTTGAAAAATAACACATAATTTTTGAGATAAAACAGTGACATTTAGTAAGAATCTCGAACTTATGGTACAAAATAATAAAGTTCATAATAAGATAGAATCATTCACAACTAAAACTCATAACTCAATATCTTGTGTGTGTAGGTTGACTAACATGAATCTATACACCAAACATATCTAGTCCATACTAGACCACAATTATAAACCATCTAATCAATCCCCGCAGGGCGATAATACTTTAGGAAAGACATATACATCGACAACTATGAATCCTTCTCAAGACTAGAATATTAACCTCTAGCCTCGATCACTGTGAACGAATACTGCAAATCTTTGAACCTTGCAAGGAACCAAACAATTCTACTACGAGTGAAAGTAAACCTTCAAACCCCTCAAGGAAAACAAAAACATCTAAATATTTTGTGATATAAATTCAAGTGAAACTAACATTCATCGCACCCACCCATACAAGATATAATTTCTAGCTTCCACAAAATCCATCTTTCCACAATTTTTTAAATCCAAAAGTAATTCAATTGAAATATACAAGAGATCGTAGAAAAGAAGCGTTCATGTTCACAATATTCAAGATCTAGGGTTTTTAAATCAAAAACGAATAAATCTTAAAAGCAAATCATGTATTTTGTTTATGAAATGAATCATGTGTTCCAACAAACGTAAAAGCAATTATAGTGTAATAAGAATGAATAAGATATAATTATATAGCCCTAATAATCCATGATTGAATATGAGAAAAAAACCCCTACCTTAATCCATAGATAATTGAACCTAACACGTTTTGATACGATTACCACGCGTTAATCTTTCACGATTTAACTCGTTCTTCCTCTTTTTTTTTCTCCTCAAGCATTCCTAGACTTCTTGGGATTGAAAAATAGGTAAAAACACTTCAAATAGCAGCCCTATAATATTTATTGGGTCAAAAACGAAAAAAAAATCCTAAAAACTAAATAATGCTATTTTTAGCATGGCGTCTGGATGGTTCTGGGGGCTTTTTTGGACAGTACCAACTCTCTGCTTCTCCTTTATTCTCATGATACACACAATTTCGTTTTTGGGATAGACGTCTAGACGGTTCTTTGGGCGTCCAGACGGTGCTAACTTTCTATGTAATCTTTCGACTTGATTTTGACATAATTAAAAGTCGATTCACGAAATTTTCATGAAATACACTTTTGTAACCCTTAAAGTTCACTTTCTAAAAAGTTATGGCCAAAATACTGAGATAGTGTCAAATTCTTTATTACCTGAATTCTCTCTAAAATGCGTTTTAACTTCAGAATACTTCTAAACTTCTAATACACCTCATACTACCTCTCCCAAGGTTTCTTGACTTTCTGAATTCAATGGTAGCCTTATTTTGACCTAAAAATCTTTAAAAAATTATCTAGCCACCTTTCTCAAGCTTAAACACCTATGAAACTATTCATGAAACTCAAACTTCATAATTATTTCTTCAACAACGATTCAAACTTTTGATCATCATTTGAAAGTACTCTTAAAATTATTTTGTTCATCTTTCAATTTTATACAAGGTCTCACAATCCACCACCCTAAAAAAAAATTTCATCATCACAACTTAATCGTCGATTTACTGTAATCTAATTCCAATTGACGATAAGGTTTCAACGCCTGTTCATCCTTTAAGCATCAAATCCAAGATCAAAAGAGATTTCTCATATTCTAAATTTTAAATTCATCCCTTCAACTTATACCGCCATTGTAGTTATTAGAAGTCCCCAAACTTAAGCTCAAATCAAAAAACGATACAATCCTCTTCATAACTCACGCGCATTCGGATTCCTACTTTTTTATCAATCTTAATATCTCCACACAATCCATCAACTCAATTAAGACCCCAATTATTTTCTCTATCTCATAAGTATTCATTCTCAATCTCTAACCTTGAGTTAGAATCAATAAACCATGTAATTAAGTCATTAATCTCCCAATTCTTTTCATGATATATATACTCTTGAATCCTTATGATATAATCCAAAACAATATATTTCTTATAATATAATAGAAGGCATTATAGAATGCCAAGGATCCCAAAATATCTCTCAATTCAATACCACCAGATTTCTTGTGATATAATCAAAACCAAAACAAAGCTCCTAATGAATCAATTAGTGTCCCTCAATTTAACCACATTAATTATCAAAACCTTAATGAGAATTAATAATTTCCAAGATTATAATTATCTCTTAACTACTATGATAACTTTAGCCTTTTATCCTAGAACTTCGTTAAAAGCTTATCCATTCATGTTAAAGCCAATTTGCATAGGTATTGATATTGATTCCTCAAATTACATTCTTCCAATCATCACAACTAGCCATAAAGATTTCATTTTCGAAGATTATAATCTTCACTACTCATAACAAAGATCCTCCAGTCTACCTATTCAAATCTATCTTAATGATGTATTAAGATACACTGGAAAACTCTATAATATAAAACATACCAATCATGCCCCACTAAAGTTCAGACTAAGCAATAGGCATCATTCTTATCCCAATAATTGTCCCCTATATTTGACCTCGAACTTTTGAACACCTATAGTCTTTAGTCCAACAATTTGGAGAGTCAAAGATAACTATAAAATTTAATTCAACTTCCTAAATTTCATTTCCATATGTCTCTGTATTCATAGTCATATCCTTGACCACTATTTACAATTAAAATTTATGGGTATAAAGGCAACTATCAATCCACCTTCAATCAATCAAGAGATTCCTACTTGTTAAGAACTTAAAAGAGTCTAAGAGAAGTGAACTAAGCCTACAACAAAATAAAATTACCTAAATACAGTGTCCTCAATGAATGTTTTGCTTATGATCTTTTTAAGCAACTAGTACTTCCAAAATAACCTTAGTCAACTCTCTGTAATATTCTAAAACCAAAATTAGTAACCTCAAATACGTGGCTATGGAACGATCTCCAATCCATCTAAGAAGCATTACCACAATTGCTACCCTTATTCTTAGAATTGNCTTCATCAGGGTTGGGGTTCACGCTGACGTCCCGGACAATGAAGAGAAGGTAATCCACTGCATATAACACAAAAGTTGGGGATCAGCATCACAGTATACATTTCTATGTCTGTGTTTGTTTACATGGCTGTGGCTGTCTTAGTTCTTAGTGTATTTCACTAAAAATGTAGACAATCAGCTGTCCCATGGATTTTTCTTAAGNTATGTCTGTGTTTGTTCACATGGCTGTGGCTGTCTTAGTTCTTAGTGTATTTCACTGAAAATGTAGACAATCAGCTGTCCCATGGATTTTTCTTACGATTGGAATTGGGGCTGAATAAATATTAGTTAAAAGCAATCTACCAGTCAAGTTTACAAGTTACAATGAATAAACATAGTTCCATGCAGGACTGGAAAGCTACCACTAGAATAAGTCACTACACTCGTGAGATTGAAATTATGTTGGATGGATATTTGGAGAGCCAAAGATGCCCGTATTCAAAACTTCCAAAATGAGAGGAACAAAAGCTTAAAAAACACAGATTGAAAATGAATCGAGGATTATTACGTTCATGCTCTCCCCACTTCCCATCAGATGGTGCCTTGTACAGCATACGACCCAGTGGCACGAACTGACCAACTGGAACATCTTCAGCAGGAATGCCTAGTTCATCCAAGAGCTTCCTCTGTGCAGCATTCCTCACCCCTAGTAAGANGACCAACTGGAACATCTTCAGCAGGAATGCCTAGTTCATCCAAGAGCTTCCTCTGTGCAGCATTCCTCACCCCTAGTAAGAAATTGAAATATAACCCTAATGATAAAAGTTAATGGCAACTAAAATTAGTAGGTCTTCCACTGGAAACGTAAACAGAAATTAATACCAAGAGCATTCTCCTCAATAAGCTCAGATTCTCGGTACAACGGATGGCTGCAGCAGGTGTTTGTCCACACCAGAGGGAAAGTTACCTTTGTTGCAGATCGTTGCTGCACTTATAACACCAATTATCAACATAGAGTAATCATGCCCTACTGAACTGCAAATTCATTGGTGCAAATTTTACCTAACCTACATAGTAATCAACAAATAGCTAGCCAGGTAGTGATCGCATAAAAGCTGAGTAGATAAAAAGATTGGTATCCTCTATTATGTGTATGATCCGACCCAAGTTGAGCAACCATACAAAAATTATTCCAGCCAATTTGATTTAGTAGTTGTTACTTATGAATCATCAAACGTAGCTTGATTTAAAACCCTTCACGAACCTCCAGGATCATGACACACTGATATTTAATTGAAGCAAGTTTTTTTCCCTGATAGTAAACATGATTGTAACATAAATAAAATGGAGAAAATGTACATAAGAGGATAAAGAGTCATCATAGCAAGGCAATACAAAAGGTAAAAAGAAAAAACAAACTAAAGGCAAATACATCCATGTCTCAATATTTTTTGCACAATTGAGTCCAATGATCTTAAAATTNATCATAGCAAGGCAATACAAAAGGTAAAAAGAAAAAACAAACTAAAGGCAAATACATCCATGTCTCAATATTTTTTGCACAATTGAGTCCAATGATCTTAAAATTGAGAATGGGGCATCATGGCATCCCTTCAATTCTTTAGACATTGACAAACTCTGTATCTTCAAAGATCTTCCCATTTCTTTAAAACCAAACCACCCAAAATAATGCCANTTGAGAATGGGGCATCATGGCATCCCTTCAATTCTTTAGACATTGACAAACTCTGTCTCTTTAAAGATCTTCCCATTTCTTTAAAACCAAACCACCCAAAATAATGCTAACACCAAACTTTTCCATAAAATCTTGGCTTCATTTCTAAGACCAAGACCTTTGAAGTCAATAACAAATACGGAGTCACAATGCCTTGGAATCACCCAAGGGATGTCACAATTGACATGCAACTATTCTACAATTTATTAAAAAAAAAAAATCGCATAATTTAGGGCTAAATAAAAGTTCATCATGATGCCATGCTCAAGGAAAAAAATATTTCTACTCCGACTCCACCACACGAATTAGAGTATCTCTGTGAACCTCACTTTCAATAGCTCCCTAAAACTAGTCTACACACAAGAGGACATGTTAAAATATAAATACTTGATTTATACCCTTCTAAAAACATAAAATTTTGGAGTAAACGGTAGTGTCATGGTTGCATGTTTTCTTACTGAAGGGACATCCAGCTATTTATAAAATTAATCTCCTTTCCTAACTCTGACGCTTGCTCCCGGTACACTATGTATCTTTTATCATAATTTTCTACAATGTTGTAGTGCAACGCCCCAAAATCCACAACGGAGATATTAGCTATCTATCAACAATTAAACCATGAGAGCATACTAAAGTAACCATTAAAATAATAAAACCATCCATCTTTAATAAATAACTTGATCAATCCCAATAAAACATCAATAATTTCTTAAAATTACATCCTAAAACCATAATACTATCTTGAAACTAACCAATAAAGAAATATTAATAAATATTGTCTAATAACTGAACTTCAAAAATTTAAACTAGAAAGACACTTTCTAAGCCTCAACGTCTAGATCCACATCTCGATCTACTGCCACCTCAAAGTGAACCTGCTCACCTAAGGTTATTTCTTCCTCGAGCCCAAAATCTGAAATATATATATTGTAGGAAAACATTCTCAAACTCAAATAAATTTGAAAATCATAAAAACTGGTAAGTCTCAGTTTGAAAAATAACACATAATTTTTGAGATAAAACAGTGACATTTAGTAAGAATCTCGAACTTATGGTACAAAATAATAAAGTTCATAATAAGATAGAATCATTCACAACTAAAACTCATAACTCAATATCTTGTGTGTGTAGGTTGACTAACATGAATCTATACACCAAACATATCTAGTCCATACTAGACCACAATTATAAACCATCTAATCAATCCCCGCAGGGCGATAATACTTTAGGAAAGACATATACATCGACAACTATGAATCCTTCTCAAGACTAGAATATTAACCTCCAGCCTCGATCACTGTGAACGAATACTGCAAATCTTTGAACCTTGCAAGGAACCAAACAATTCTACTACGAGTGATAGTAAACCTTCAAACCCCTCAAGGAAAACAAAAACATCTAAATATTTTGTGATATAAATTCAAGTGAAACTAACATTCATCGCACCCACCCATACAAGATATAATTTCTAGCTTCCACAAAATCCATCTTTCCACAATTTTTTAAATCCAAAAGTAATTCAATTGAAATATACAAGAGATCGTAGAAAAGAAGCGTTCATGTTCACAATATTCAAGATCTAGGGTTTTTAAATCAAAAACGAATAAATCTTAAAAGCAAATCATGTATTTTGTTTATGAAATGAATCATGTGTTCCAACAAACGTAAAAGCAATTATAGTGTAATAAGAATGAATAAGATATAATTATATAGCCCTAATAATCCATGATTGAATCTGAGAAAAAAACCCCTACCTTAATCCATAGATAATTGAACCTAACGCGTTTTGATACGATTACCACGCGTTAATCTTTCACGATTTAACTCGTTCTTCCTCTTTTTTTTTCTCCTCAAGCATTCCTAGACTTCTTGGGATTGAAAAATAGGTAAAAACACTTCAAATAGCAGCCCTATAATATTTATTGGGTCAAAAACGAAAAAAAAATCCTAAAAACTAAATAATGCTATTTTTAGCATGGCGTCTGGATGGTTCTGGGGGCTTTTTTGGACAATACCAACTCTCTGCTTCTCCTTTATTCTCATGATACACACAATTTCGTTTTTGGGATAGACGTCTAGACGGTTCTTTGGGCGTCCAAACGGTGCTAACTTTCTATGTAATCTTTCGACTTTATTTTGACATAATTAAAAGTCGATTCACGAAATTTTCATGAAATACACTTTTGTAACCCTTAAAGTTCACTTTCTAAAAAGTTATGGCCAAAATACTGAGATAGTGTCAAATTCTTTATTACCTGAATTCTCTCTAAAATGCGTTTTAACTTCAGAATACTTCTAAACTTCTAATACACCTCATACTACCTCTCCCAAGGTTTCTTGACTTTCTGAATTCAATGGTAGCCTTATTTTGACCTAAAAATCTTTAAAAAATTATCTAGCCACCTTTCTCAAGCTTAAACACCTATGAAACTATTCATGAAACTCAAACTTCATAATTATTTCTTCAACAACGATTCAAACTTTTGATCATCATTTGAAAGTACTCTTAAAATTATTTTGTTCATCTTTCAATTTTATACAAGGTCTCACAATCCACCACCCTAAAAAAAATTTCATCATCACAACTTAATCGTCGATTTACTGTAATCTAATTCCAATTGACGATAAGGTTTCAACGCCTGTTCATCCTTTAAGCATCAAATCCAAGATCAAAAGAGATTTCTCATATTCTAAATTTTAAATTCATCCCTTCAACTTATACCGCCATTGTAGTTATTAGAAGTCCCCAAACTTAAGCTCAAATCAAAAAATGATACAATCCTCTTCATAACTCACGCGCATCCGGATTCCTACTTTTTTATCAATCTTAATATCTCCACACAATCCATCAACTCAATTAAGACCCCAATTATTTTCTCTAGCTCCTAAGTATTCATTCTCAATCTCTAACCTTGAGTTAGAATCAATAAACCATGTAATTAAGTCATTAATCTCCCAATTCTTTTCATGATATATATACTCTTGAATCCTTATGATATAATCCAAAACAATATATTTCTTATAATATAATAGAAGGCATTATAGAATGCCAAGGATCCCAAAATATCTCTCAATTCAATACCACCAGATTTCTTGTGATATAATCAAAACCAAAACAAAGCTCCTAATGAATCAATTAGTGTCCCTCAATTTAACCACATTAATTATCAAAACCTTAATGAGAATTAATAATTTCCAAGATTATAATTATCTCCTAACTACTATGATAACTTTAGCCTTTTATCCTAGAACTTCGTTAAAAGCTTATCCATTCATGTTAAAGCCAATTTGCATAGGTATTGATATTGATTCCTCAAATTACATTCTTCCAATCATCACAACTAGCCATAAAGATTTCATTTTCGAAGATTATAATCTTCACTACTCATAACAAAGATCCTCCAGTCTACCTATTCAAATCTATCTTAATGATGTATTAAGATACACTGGAAAACTCTATAATATAAAACATACCAATCATGCCCCACTAAAGTTCAGACTAAGCATTAGGCATCATTCTTATCCCAATAATTGTCCCCTATATTTGACCTCGAACTTTTGAACACCTATAGTCTTTAGTCCAACAATTTGGAGAGTCAAAGATAACTATAAAATTTAATTCAACTTCCTAAATTTCATTTCCATATGTCTCTGTATTCATAGTCATATCCTTGACCACTATTTACAATTAAAATTTATGGGTATAAAGGCAACTATCAATCCACCTTCAATCAATCAAGAGATTCCTACTTGTTAAGAACTTAAAAGAGTCTAAGAGAAGTGAACTAAGCCTACAACAAAATAAAATTACCTAAATACAGTGTCCTCAATGAATGTTTTGCTTATGATCTTTTTAAGCAACTAGTACTTCCAAAATAACCTTAGTCAACTCTCTGTAATATTCTAAAACCAAAATTAGTAACCTCAAATACGTGGCTATGGAACGATCTCCAATCCATCTAAGAAGCATTACCACAATTGCTACCCTTATTCTTAGAATTGACACCCATTCGTGATTATTTCATCATACTCCTCCAATTTATCATATTTGAACATTGTATTCACTCAAGGGGAAGATATATCACTCTCAAAAAATTTCTACCATAAGGTAAAAAATAAAAAAATCCCCATAGTTAATCAATTTCCTAGCCGAGTCTTTTCAGTAAGCCTTGACTATCTAAGGATACCCTAGTTTATCTTATCTAAATACAACAAACAAAATCACTACTGTTCATTGTTTTTCAAGAGTTCAGGCAACCCTAAGAATCCGATAATCATTAAAAATCAACCTCACATAAAGTAATCATCTCATCATATTCTATCATCCCTCACAAACATCAACATACTTTGATCTTATACTCTCATATTACTATAAGATTTTCAATACAATAAAGGGTCACCATCACCAATCATATAATAATCACCAAATAACATTCTATCTCATATTTCATCAACATTCTTAAATTTAATCTCATAACCTTTCATCATAGATTCCAATGATCTTAAGGGCAACCCAAAACTTATGGCTTATAAACAAAACT